GGCGGGGGTGCTCTGGGCGCCAGCGCCGGCGAAAGCGCCGCGACCGAGGCGCTGCGGGACGATAGGGCAGAGCGTGCGGGCGGCGCCGTGGGCGGCGGCGGCGGCGGCGGGGGCGGCGCCGTGCTGGCTGAGGAGGTGCGGGCGGCGCAGAGCGGGCTGTCTTGGCGCGAGCGGGCGCTGCTGGCGCGGCGGAAGCCTCCCCCATGATTCTGGGCCCCACACATCTGGCGTTTGAGCGAAGTGTGCGGAAGTTTTTGCAGGCCTTGTTGCGTTTCTTGCTGTGGGTGCTGGCATGGCGCTACCATTGCAACTTTGGTCGCAATTCATGACTGCTTGCATAGTCTGGCGGGTCGTCCTGTTTTGCCATGTCATTAATCCAGAACACAAAAGCCTCATGCCTATCTGTAACCATTCATTTGTCGCTCCAGTCAGCCAACCACAAGCCCAGTGCGGGTCAAGACAGTAGGCCTTGTGCTCAAGAAGGGGCGGGCCCGTCCACGTCGCAGCAGCTGCCGATTATGGCTGCCCGCCCCTGCCCTTCCACACCCGCCAGCCACCACAGATGGTGATGCAGGGACAGCTGCGATGCGACCACCCATCCTCCAGTGGATCGGCAACCTCTCATTGTAGACACCTGGAGTGACCCCACGGCCACTGAGTTGGTGGCCTGGTAGCCTGCTTCCCTGTGTGTTTTGGGCTGCTTGTCGTGCGGCAGGGTGCCACAGCGTGAGTGTGCGTAAGCTTTGTATAGCGCTGCTCGCGTCAACAGACTGCTGCTGCGGGTGGTGCGGACTCAAAAGTGTCCAACCTTGCCTGTGACTTAAAACCACAGGCGTGATATGACGGTTGATGTGCATGAGAGACCGTCTGTTACTTTGCTGCATAGGCAGCTATCCGAGTACTTGGCTTGCTAGGACTCTACGTGCCGGCCTGTGCAGCAGGGCAAATTCCAGCCACATCCAACCACAGCGCCGCGCTAGAGCAGCTCTTCTGACAGGAAAAAAGTCCAGTCAGGCAGTCCAGCAGCCCGTGCGCTCTTGCAGCGCATTTTTTCAGGGCGTGCTTGGAAAGAAGCCACCCCAGGCCAGCAAGGGGTGCTGGCGAGTACGTCGGCTGTGCCAGTCAGGGGTCAAACGTTCAAAACGAAAGTCGGCCGCACGCCGTGCCGAGCTAAGCGCATGAGCGCGGATCACAGGCCGCTATAAACCCTGCAGGAATTGAGGGTTTGCCTCCAAAGCATGCATGAGTCCCTCCCAGTGGCACACCAGGCTCCCTGCTGCGCGCTTGTAGCTGTCCACAGCAGCGTTCAAATATGGGAGGAAGCTGCTCAAATGAGTACAGATCCGCGCACGAGCGCTGAATGCCACCCAGAATCTAACAGCAGAGGTCAGGGGACCCGTTGAGTGACACATATACAGTCGCGTAATGCTCATGGAAAGAGGGAGGCAAGATGCCAGCATCGATGTGGGCCACCCGTGCGTGTGTGCCTGCCTGGCGCTTTGCAGCGCAAGGCGCACGCATGGTGCGCCGCCCCAGCTGCCCGCCTGCCGCGGCTGCTAGTAGAACGGCGCCCGGCGGCCGCCGCCGCCGCCGCCCTGCACGGCGCGGTGATGCCGCTCGCCCAGCTGCGAGGCCGCGCCCTGCCGCCGCTGGCTGGCCCCCTGCTGCGCCGTTGGCACCGCCCGGCGCTGCTGCTATATAGGCTCTGCACACAGGTGCGGCGACACCTCCGCGTGGGGGTGGGCGCTGCAGCCAGTGACGCCCCGACTCTGCCGCTGGCCCTGCTGGGTCGGCTGCTGCGAGTGCGGCGGCCGCGCGTGCTGGGCGTGCAGCTGGTGGGGGAGGGGCTGGCGACCCCCATGCCTGATTGGCTGCTGCTGGTGCTGCTGGTGCTGCCTCAGCTGTCTCTGCTGCTGCTGCTGCTGCTGCTGCCGCTGCTGCTGCTGCTGCTGCTGCTGCTGCTGCTGCTGCTGCTGCTGCTGCTGCGGCTGCTGCTGCTCCTGCTGGTGGTGGTACTGGTGCCGCTGCCGCTGCTGCTGGTGCTGGTGCTCGTGCAGCTGCTGCTGGTGCTGGTGCTGCCGGCCATGGCTGTGCTGCTGCCACTGCTGCTGGTGGCTCACCGCCTGATGCGGCTGCCGAAGCTGCTTGTCCCGCTGCACCCTCGGGTGCACCCCCCAGGGCAGCTGCTGGTTGGGGGCGCGTGTGTCTTTTGCCGCCACGCGGGGCTGCGATGAAGGTGAGGGGAGCCGGCAGCGCACCATGGATCAGCAATTGGGTGGATGGCGTCAGGACACCAGCAGCTGCAGAGGTTCACTAGGGTTTAGGGTTGACCAGAATGGAAATCAGCCTCTGGGCGCCCTAGACTCGAGGAACCCTCCACTTGACTTGCGCAGTCGACAGGCACCGGCGGACGGTGCACCTTTTCGCCGCCCCACACCCCTGTGTCCCACCACCGGCCGCCACAAAAACCTGCACAGCGCCCCGCAGCCAGCGGGGGCGGCACGCGGCCGGCAGCGTATGCCGCGACCGATGCTGCATGCATGATCAAGCCCACCTTGCGCTTGATCGCGCCATACTCGAGCTCAACGCCCTCTTGCGTGGCGGAGCTAGTTGCCCAGACGGTGGGCCCGGCGCAAGAGACCGGCGCCTGCGGGGCGACAGGAGGGCAGGCGTAGCACAGTCAGCGAGTTGGAATGGATGCATCACATGCCGCTCAGCTTGGCACATGGTGAACCAGACATCAAGGCGTGCGTCGTCGCACCAGGTGTGGCTCTTGTTTGTCCTGGGGGATGACTTGCAGCCGGTACCTGGCAATATCGGTTGGCAGCAGAATTTGCGATGTGGGCGCGAGGGGGCATCTGAGAATATGATAAGGGTGGGACTCCCACCCATCAGATGGGGCGGAATGGACCAGCTAGCGTCGGCGAAAATGCGGCGGCGTGGGCAAGTGCACTTCCGTCGTGCGCAGCAGCTTCCCGTGCGACGTGCTCCACCAGCTACTCCCCATGCCGCTGCCCCTGCGGCATGGGGCTTGGTTGGGGCCGGCGATCGCGACAAGCCACGCCACGCGCACCTGGCGCCCTCTGCGGCGAACCTGGCCTCGACGCGAGGGGGCAGCCGGCCCTCCATGCCGCCGTGCGCGCTGCCTGCATGTGGGGGAGCGGGCCAAGCAGGTGCGGACGCATACGCAGTGTCGCTTGCAATAATCAAGCACGATCTGCAGAGGTATGCAGTGGGTTGAACGGAGGTGCAGAAGTGCATTGAAAGAGTTGGCGCCAAGCGCGCCACCAGATAGCGGCTCCTCACCTTCCTCTTGCTGTATGACGGGGCTGGGCGCGGCGGCGGTGATCTCTGGCAGCCGGGGCTCGGCCTGCGGCGCCGTGAGCCGAGCGCCCGCCGCGGTGTCCTGAGGGTGTGCCCAAGGGGTTGGTGCAGGGCAGGCGTGAGAACCCAGATGGCAATCACGCACGCTGCACAACAACCCCCCTGCAACCAGCAACCCCTGAAATTGAGTCAGCAGGCCCCGGCCTACCCGGCGGCGGGCCGCGCGTGTTGAGACGTCCCCGCCAAGCTCGACGCCCGTGTGAGCGGCGGAGCTAATGCTGAGGGCGCTGTTGTTCTTGGTGTCCTCCGACGAATCCTGCGCTCACCGCAGCCAGTCGCAGTGCACGGGGGGGGGACCGTTTTGAGTGCGCTTCACAAGCCGGCCTGATCGCTGAGCGCTCAGCGCTCCACGTTCATCACAAAGGTTTGTCACGCCGCGCCCCAGGCGCACTCGCCGCAGCGCTGCCACCCCAGGGAGTTGTGTGTTCCCGAGCCAGAAGTCAGGGGCCATCAAACGGGTCCAAATGCGGCTTCTGCTCGCGTGCCTGTCCCCTCTCATCCCATCTTTCGGACTGCACGGGCGCAAGCAGCGCATGCAAGCACCCTGGGACGGCCCACTCACTTGCTCTTCATCGTCCGGCGGCATGCCCTTGGTGGGCGAGCTGGGGCGGCTCGGGGAGCCATCATCATTGTAAAGGGGGTTGGAGTGGACGGCGTCCATCTGCACCCCGTTGAACACCTGTTGGTTGTACATTCAAAGAGGAGCGGGAAGGATTTTGTGAGGATCAGGGTGATGATGAGCATCAGGATTAGTATTTGCAATTGTTACAGCGTTCTAGAGAGGTCAAGGCGAGGGTGAGCACTTTCAAGGAGTTGCCAGGCAGGCGTGCTGCAGCAGCTTGGCGGAGCGCTGAAAACCTCAACATTTTTGCAACTGCGGGGGCGCGGCGCTCACTGAACGCGTTTCAGCATGGCTGGCGTGGGACGAGCCGCTAGGCGGCGACGGCCCTCTTACCAGGCAGGTGGTGTCTGACTCATTGTTTAGCCCCTGCTCCAGCCCCTTGGCGGTCTCCTGCTCGAGGGCCCACTCTAGGCCCATTGACACGATGACAGCCTGGGGAGCGGAGGTGGGTGGGGCGGTTGCGGCCGCGTCGCGGCGCGGCCAACAGCGGTCGGCCCCTGAGAGTGTCGCTGTAAGACAGCAAGGGCTGGGCCGTGCCACGCGAGCCACACGCAAGCAGCCTTCACTGAGCACGACAACAAGCCCGCTGGCACCACCAAAGCCCATCCTGTATCGGGGCGCACCATCAGCAAGGCCGTCACCCTCTAGGCATGCACACGCGCTGAGCTAGCCGCCCACCTCGTCAGTGGGTGTGATTTGGCTTGAATGGGATGCCAGGCTGGGGGTGCAGCAGCCCCACAGCTCATGGTAGCCGCCCCCGCCCAGCGGCCCAAGCACGGTCAGCCGCTGTGCTTGAGGTGTGTGCGGCAAGACAGGGTGTTGCAATGGCAGGTTGTGAGGAGGCAGGGGCCAATGTCACGCGGCAATGCCACCCAGAGGCGCTGGTCGCGGCGAGGCTGGTCAGGAGGTGCACGGCAAGGGGTCAGGCTGAAGAATTGGGGGGGGGGGTGCCCACTGGACAGCAGCGATATGCCAAAGCAGTGAGCTCTCAGAGGCGGCGCCTGAAACGCTGCGCGCGCCTCGACAAGAAGAGGTGTCGAGGTTTGTGGGTGGCCGAAGCTGCAGCAAGCCTGGCCATCGAGGCAGCCGTAAAAGGCTTGGCACCTGTGAGGGACAAGAGGAGGGGACAGGTGGCGGGATGGCCGGCAGCCTCTCAAATAAACAACCTCAGGAAATGTAAGCGCATGAGCCGGCGCGATGTAATCGGTGGGCCCAGGGTTGGCGAGTGCAACACAGCGATCGCTGATGAGGCGCGCGCGCGCGCGCCGCGGGGCTGCAGATGTTGAGGGTCGCATGCACGTACCGGGGGCTGCTGACAGAGCCATAGCTGTAGGTCTTGCCCAGCTGCATAGGTGTGCCCTTGGTGCTACCCAGGCCGCCTGCGTACGGGTTATGGGAAGTCAGTCAGGCAGGGTATAATCAGCAGGGCCGGGCCGCGTGCTGGGCAGCATGCGCGACACAAAGTGCGTCGCCAGCGTGCAAGCGTGGGGGCGTGCGATCAGCTGGCATCCGAGGGAGCGCCCATAATCCCAGCACAGTCAAGCGCTATCTGGTCTCTTCACATACGTGAGCCAATGCAGGGCATGGGCAGACAGAAAACCACGTTTGAGGTGACACGTGATTTGATCGGACCCACCATTGAAGGCCTCAGAAGACCAGCCAGCCGCCTCGCCCGCACCAGTGTCATCCCGCTGCTGCTCCTCCTGCACATCATGGTTCTGCATTGGACAGGCCGCTGCATCCAAAAGGAGTGCCTGCGGAGGTGCCAGTGTGGCGCCTTGACACGCGCTGGCGCCGCCCGGGCAGCTGCTTATTCCACCATGTGGCGTCGAGACAGCTCTCGCCGTGCACCTGCGATGTTGAGGAGCGCATGGGGGTGATAGAGCAGTCGTTCAGGCAGGCAGCAGCCTTGGACTGCGTGCAAGCAGCAAACAAGGGCCTCTGGGGGTGGCGCGCGGCTCCAACACCTGAACGCGGCGCAAGCAGCGGCCACTGCGTGTTGGGTCTATCGCACCTGGCCGCTGCTGTCAGCGCCTGTGCGCTGCACTGCTGCCTTGCAGTGTTACAGAGAGCCTCTGATACACCCAATCCCGCTCCTGCCACATAGTAGCAGCCGCGAAGAGCTCTAGCTGCCACTTTCCGGCCCCACAACATCCCTAGGACGGCCTGCAGGGGACCAATAGTGAATGTTTGAGTGCCGTTCCAATCTAAAGCACGCGCGACAGCCCTCACACAGCGCTCAAGCCACTTGCACCCTAAAACAGCTCGACTCCGACCCCCATCGTGCTGCCTCATACCTGGCTGCCTGCAAGAGCCACTTGCATGACATCCAGAGCCACATCCATTGCCATCGATGCCAGGTTCGGCTTTTCGCGATCGCAGCGTGGTGGGTGCAACTCCCCGAAAGCGAGTTGACTCGATAAGTACTCTGAATGAACATGCGTACGGTACAAGAGATCTTGTGAACTTAGAACATACGTGCATTGGATCCTGGGGCAAGTGGCATCAAGCTATTTGGTGCAGAAGCTGCGTGGCGCATGTGTCGAGGTGGCGGCTGCATGGAGTGAATCATCACATGTACAAGCTGCAGTATCATTTTCCGAGATGTGATGCACTGTATGTCTGCATTTTCTGATGGGTTTTACCAGTGGTCCCTCGTATGCATGCCCCATCGACAGCGCTCATGTCTGCTTGCCGCACACGCACGCTTTCGCAAATGCTGCCAGCTGGGGTGACTACTGCTGCGCACAAGGCCGCCACCGATGCGGATGAGGGCAAAACAGGAAGGCGTGATGATGAGAGGCTGCCCCAGCCGCAGCGCGTCACACCCTGCAGGCAGGACAGCTCCTGCATTGCCGGCACAACTGTTGCCGCCACAACTGCATTCTCAGCGGCAAAGAAACAGGGTGGGGAGTTTCAGGATGTGCGCGTGCGAGGGTGATGCGGCGAACCCAGTTTACCTTGTGGATTCAAAGTGTAATCAGGCAGGCAGAAAAAGGGCGGGTCATGGCTAGGCCTGGCTGGTGACCAACCAACAAAACAGACTGAAGGGTGGGCTGAAACAGGACGCCCATGCCGGCTGCGCCTCGTCCTTGCCGCCGCCGCCCGGCGCCGCGCAGCTACTCGAGGCGGCCCCTGCGCTGACCAATCGCCGCTGCCAAGTGTGAGAGCCATGGGCACAAAGGCTGCTACAGTAGCGCGCCCCGCTGCCCATGCCAGCTGTGAGGCCTGCCCGCGGTCCGCCGCCGCTGCTGATGCCGCCGCGGCTGTTGTTGCTGCTTTTTGCTGTTGCAGCTGCCGCTCGGCCAGGAAATCCTCCCTTGCATACTCATCGTCCTATCTCCTCGCTCAGTGCGTGCGCCCGGCTGCCAATGGCAACGTCAGGGAGCGGCTCGGAGGGTGCCGCCCACCAAGTGGTGGCAGGTACCCGCCGCGCTGGGCGCTGGGAGAGGGGACTGCTCGCCGCCACGTGCGCCTGCCCAATGCAGGCGGGAATGACCGACGGGACCTTGGAGTGACAGCCATCAACCTGCAAAGCGCTGCGCTGCGCGGGCATTGTGGGTGGCTTGCATCATCCCTGAGGCACCGCGGGCCTTGTCACAAAAAGAGCCAGCTGCTGATCATGTTGTGCACAGTGCAGGCAAGCATGCGCCGCCATTTCCTGATCCAGTTGAGGGAAGCAAAAGCCGCAGCAGCAGCATGAGCACCGGCCGTGCACCACCACGCCGCTGCGCGCAAACAGCGGCCATCAGAGCGCCTTGGCAGCCTCCCCCCTTGCAGGCGCCCGCACCGCCACCCAGCCCCAGCCCGCCAGTCTGCAGCGCTGCGCTGCTGAACTGGATGCTGCTGCATGGGCTCACCGCTCGAGACGGCCAGTGGGGGGTGGTGGGGTGGCAGGGCAGGCACATAGCTGGAAACGACGTCAAGCGGTGGTGGTGCCGCAGTAAACTGCACGGGGGTTACAACGATGCACATGTCCAGCAATATTGTGGTACATCGCCCTTGGCACCACCTCTTAACAAATCTCCTTCAAGCAAAACCTGTGTGATTCCGCCGCCACGCGGTCAGAAACTTTGGCCCTTCGGGCAGCTGCTCCTACCTGTGCCCAGTCCCTGCTGCTCCACCCACCAGCTTCGTCCTTGCCCACCCCCTCACCCAGCTTCTCTCCACCTGGCCTGCGGCCTGCGGGCCCTTGGTGCGCCCGGAGGCCGGGCCCCGGCTGCTGCTTGGCATTGTAAGGCACGGGGCGGCTCCTGACGGGGCGGCTTTAAAATTCTGACTGCCTGAGGCTGGCATGAGTAGTGATGATTGCGCGATGAGACGTGGTTGTCGCCTGGGCGGAGGCGTACGTCATTGCACACAGGCGATGAGTGTGTCCCACCCACATCGTGGCACTCCATGGGCTTGCGATTTTGTCGCTGGGCAGTTGAAGAGCGTGCAACTCCCCCGCAGCGTCGCATCACGGCTAAGCAATGCGCCGCGCTGTGCTGTGTGGCACGTCCAATGGTATCGAATGCAGCGAAGCCACCATTTGAGTCCGCAGCGTATTTTGAGGGCTCTGTATGGCCCCAGAACCACTAGCTGCACACCTGTATACACACGTGCGCACTGCCACAAAGGCGCGTTGTGAACTCTTGGGCCAGTGGGCGCGCCTTGGGCGCTCCGTGTTGTCCTCAACAGGCAGCGTCAATGCCACGCATGTATCATGCAACAAATTCAAATCAATAACAGCTTGTATGTCTCCATTGTGTAGGCAGTTGCGCCCTTGCGGCAGGGCTGCGGTCCGCAGTGCCGATTTCGTACTGCAGCACTCAACATGGCTCAAATATTCGTAAATTCTGGTATGTGGTGCCGTGATGTTGTTACGGTATGGTATGTCTCGTGTCTAGGTTCGCGTAATCCAAGACTGCAACACGATCACGCCCCAGCGCGACCTCAGGTGGGTTGATTGTTATCACAGCAATGGCATCAGGGCGTCGTTATTGTGAGGCTGGCTCGCAGCCGCCCTTGCGATTTGCGTGTTTTGGGCCAGTGCACTGCAGGCTCAGGTGGTGGTGCAGGTGCAGGTGCAGGCGCGACGCGCTAGCGGCGCGCACGGCAATTTTCTCATCAAGTCAGCCAACAGCTTGCACCCTGGTGGCTGGTGCGCAAGTCACGCGTTCCCCCTGAACCCAGCATGCCATCCCTCACGCTGCCGCCATATCCCGCTCGCAGCTTGTGGCCTTGGATCAGGATTGCTACATTGAGGGGCAGCCTTGTTGACGCAGCGCGTCCCAGCCAAGTAACCGGCACAGGTGGGCAACATTTTGTCTGCCAAGGTGCAGTTTCAGACATGGGAGCCCACAGAGTGACGGTGCAGGCACGTGAAAAGGGGGGGGGGTCAGTCCGCCTTTCGAAGGTATGATATCAAGCATGGTATAGGTTGGGGGACACATCCTCATGGCCACCTGAGCACCCGATGTGCATAATTGCCTTGGCCACATGTGTATCAGTTCCCAGGGGGGGGGCGTTATTGGTTCCATGTGCGCCACCCGCCCTGGGTCCGACATCCGAACGCCTAATCACTGGCTGTGCAGATGTCCGTGTGTACCAAACACACATGCGTTTGCTTGCCGCAGACACCCCACACGACGACGACAGACACACCCTCTGGCATTTGCTCATGTGCTCTCACGAAGGATGGATGGCCCCAACTTTGCCAACTTAGCGCAGCATATCCAGAACATGGCGCAGGCAGCGGAAGGGCTGGCCGCTGAGGCGCACAATCTGCCAAACTGGGAGCCTGCGGCGCAGAGCGAGGCGCTGGCGCAAGTGCAGGTGGCGCAGCAACAGCTGCAGCAGCAGCAAATGCAGCAGATGCAGCAGATGCAGCAGCAACAGACGCAGCAGCTGCAGCGGCACATAGAGGCAGTGGACCACAACTCGCTCGCGCGGCTCATGAACACCCGCTTACTTCGTGGTGACGACTATGTCACGTAGCTTCGCAACAGCGACGGGCAAGCGCCGCAGCAAGCCCCCCTGGAGCTCTGTGACGTGTACAAAACCCCCGAGGCCACCGTGGACATCATTCTGGCCCACTACGGCCTGCCCACACAGGGCACTGAACCGGAGCGGATCGGACGGCTGCTGGCCCATCTGGGCATCTTTGACGACGACTGAGTCGGACGAGGGCGGCAGTGGCAGGGAAGTGTCAACGGCTGCGACTGCGGCGGCCACTCGTCCAGCAGCACGTCGCAGCACGCGCGCCGTGCACGCTCTGGGCGCACGGAGCGGTGATGAGGTTTTTGGCTGGACGGGCCCGTCGGGCCGGTCATTTGCAAGCGGTGTAGGGATAGTCTCAGGGTGCTGGGGTGACCACCACTTCTGTTTCAGGCTAGTGGGTATGAATCATAACGGCGGCAAGCCTTGCGTCTATGGATTTTTCAAACCCTGCCCGCGTCCAGAATGAATCGGTTGGTTGACTTCACTCCAACCCTTCAATTGACCCTGCTTGTGCTGCACAAGAACAGTTGTAACATTTTCAGCAGCAGTTGATGTAGATCCGCCGATTTTGGCAGGAGGAGCACAGGGGGAGGGTGCGGTGTGCAACTATGGACCTGCTACCATACGCGACAAGAAGGGTGGGACTAATTGATCCAGCACATTAGTTGCCAGCAACAGCAGGGTGTTGCAAACACATCAAGTCAACCGCGAAACAAGATGATTCTTCTCCCCCCCTGTGTGTGCGTTCTCCAGAATTGGAAAGGATGTGAAAAGGATGGCATTGTATCGCCCTTGGGCCAGCATGACAGGGTGTGCCAGGCCGCACAGGTCATTGCAATGGAGCCAGCAGCCTGGTTGACAGACTGCCTGCAAGAGGCAGCGCCCCTCCCTCGGGACGATCGTGTGATTCCGATGCGCCAGCGCTGGGTCAGCAGGTGAGGCGATGTTAGTCATTGCCTGCGCAGAGGCGTGCACAACGGAGCGTAGGGGACCTGACTGTCCCTCCCAATTCACGGCAATCCACGGGCTTCCAGTTTCGCCGCCAGACGTTGTGAGAGCTATCGAATCCTCCGCGGCAGGCCCAACACACACCAAAATACATGCGTCGCATGTGTGTTGTATGGCACCTCCACACCGGCATCAAATGCAGCGGAGCCGCCATCGGACCCAAAAGGCTTTTTTTTCGGTGCTACACGACCCGAGGACACTAGCTGCGCAGATGTGTACACACAGGCACACTGCCGCGAGGGCGCCTTCCGACTGTCGGGCCAGCGCTCGCCTTAGCAACGTCCTCGCACGCGTGCTCCGCGCCGTCCTCGACAGGCAGCCTCGGAGCTAGAGTAACATCGTGCACTAGGCATAACAGCTTGTCTATCTGGATTGTACTGTAGGCAGCCCCTTTGCGGCAGCGCAGCAGTCTGCAGCGCCCGATTTCGGAAAGGCAGCACCTTAAATCGCTGAAACATCCGTATATTGCATCGTCAATCCGGGGATGGTACGCACATACCGTTTGTCGCGTCTCTACTGTAGATCCGCGCAAACCAAGGTTGCAAGGTGGTCCCCACGATCACGACCCAGTGCGACCTCAGGTGCGTGAATTCATCATTACGGTTTGCTTAGGGATAACCCGGCCCGGGTGTGAGGCCGGCTCGCCGCCACCAACGCGCTTTGCGTGTCGCGGCCCAGTGCAGGCGCAGTTGCAGCTGCAGGCGCAGGCGCAGGCGCAGGCGCAGGCGGAGGAGTGCGGCGCGCTACCGTAGGGGCGCGAATGGCAATACTCGAGTCAGTCACCAGCTTGTAGGCTGGTGGCTGGTGCGCAAGTCACGCTCTCCCTTTGAACCCTGCCGAGGTCAGCGCGCCCTCCCTCATCACGCTGCCGCCATCCCGCGCGCGGCTCGTGGCCGCCCGTGACAGGCTTCTTAACGCGGCGCGTCCCAGCCAAGTGATCGGCACAGGTGGGCCGTGCTTTGCGTCAGCTGACTTGAAGTTTTTAGACATGGGAGCCCACAGAATGACAGTGCCTGCATGCACGCGATCATGGGGTCGAGAGGTATTCAGTCCGCCTGCATGCGTGTGACACGTGGTTGAGGTTGGGGAACACTCCAATCCTCTTGGGCCCCTGAGCATCCGTTGTGCATCATCTGCCCTGCGGACATATCATTCCCCAGGACTGGGGCTGTTGTTTGCCCCATGTACATCCCTCACCAACCTTGCGTTTGACATGCACGCGACCCTGCTGGTTGCTGATGGTTATGTGGACGACCGTGTGTTTTGCTTGGACGCCGTGCATTGATTGCTGAGGGCACTCCGGCACTCCGCACGTCGGCACACAATCCCTGTATCTCCTCACTCGTGTGTCCTCAGGCAGGATGGAGGATCCGCATTTCGCCAACTTGGTGAGGCAGTTTCAGAATTTATCGCAGTCTATGGAAGCGCTAGCCGGCGAGGCCCAGAAGCTGCCAAATTGGCAGCCTGAGGCGCTGGTGCAAGTGCAGCAGGCGCAGCAGCAGCTGCAGCAGCAGCTGGGGCAGGTGCAGCAGCAGCTGGGGCAGCTGCAGCAGCAGGTCGAGGCAGCGGACCACAACTCGTTCTCGCGGCTCTGGAACTTCCACATCAACATTGACCAGGAGGTCATGTGGCTCCGCAACAGCAGCGGGCAAGCGCCGCAGCAGGCCCCCCTCCTGCTTTCTGACGTGCGGGAGGCCGCAGAGGACACTTTGGACACCCTGTTGGCCCACTACGGCCTGTACTCACAGGGCACTGTGTCGCAGCGGCGCCGCAGGCTGCTGGTCCACCTGGGCATCTTCACGTGAGTCCGCATCAGCTGGTCAGGAGGCAGGAAGTGGCAGAGAAGTGCCAACTGTAGCGTCTGCAGCGGCCACTTGTCCAGCGACACGCCGCAGCACGCGCGCAGCACAGGAGCTGGGCGCGAGGAGCGGCAGCAGTGAGGTTTGTGGCTGGTCAGGCCGATCATTCGGAGGCGGTGTGGGGATCGTTTCAGTGTGCTGGGGCGACCACCTGCAGGCTAGCTGGTGTGAGTTATCACGGCGGCAACCTCACCATTTTCAAATCCTGCCGGTCCAAATCCTGCCGGTGGCTGGAATCCGGTGACCTTCGTCACCCCTGCACCCCTCATTCAGTCGACCCTACTTGTGGTGCACGAGTGCAGTTGTAATCATTTCGAACCCCTTTCATGTGCAGATGCATTCAGGTCGACAGGCAAAAGCAGAGCAGGGGGAGGTTGCGCATCTATGGGCCTGCGAGCATGTATGTGGTACCAGGCGGCTGGTGGTCGGTGGTCAAAGCGCCGTGACAGCCGTGACCAGTCCGGGCGCCCGATGCCCAGGGGCGCTGGCTGGGCGCGACAGCGTGTTTGCCGGCTGGTCAGCAGGGCAATGCAAATACATTTAGTCAACAGCCAGGCGCGGTTGTTCATTTTGCCCCCAAGTGCGTTTCCACGCAGCCCTGGAAAGGATTGGGGAGGATGTGGTCTGGAAGGGCCTTACTGTAGGACCAGCCTGACGGGGCGTGCCAGGCGGTGTTGATGCGCAGTTGCCTACATCCGAATTTCACGGCTGGGTTGGTGGCGCTTCCAAAGCAGCACTCTTGCTTTGTCACCGGCAGCCCTGTTAGCTGTTTTTACCAATGGGAGCAGTGCAATCCAGCTACCGTAATCAAAAATGACCCCCCGCCTTGGCAGCAATGACTCATGGTGTGGGTGCAATCACAAGATGTGATCGCAGCCAATGCTCACGGCAGGACAAACATGATTCTGTCCAAATCCCAAGAGTATCCAGCAAATGAAGCCTGATCAGTCATCACCAAACTTCGTCGCCGGTTGGTCCACCAGTCTCCTCGCCCGCGCAACCCCCGCAGGGGCAGCCGTTGCGCGTCGCCAGTCGTGCGAGCTCTCTTCCTTGTGGCCCCCGTTGCCGCCGGTTGCTGTGTAAACATCTTCGTCTGACGCCCGCCCAGCCGGAGCACCTGAGCACCCTGCCACCTTGCAGGGCCCGGCCAGGCCGGCCGCCCACATGCAGCACACGCGGCCACAGCCGTCGCACTCGCATCGGCCCCTTCCCCCGCAGCAGCGACTGCCTCTGCGGGTAGCGGCTTGGTGGCCGCGGCCGCCGGCGCTTGTGCCGCCCAGACCCTCAAAGCGCCGCAATGCAAATACAGGATGTTGTGCTCCCCCCACCACAAGCACCCACAAGCCGTGGCGTGGTGACGCGAGGCTGGCTCCCTGTTTGCCGCTGATCCACATTCGCGTGCTGCGAACCGCGGGAGGGTCCCCTGTTTGCCCCCAATCTGCTACTGATGTGCATTCAGTTGTGGAACATCAGCCTGTGGGCCCGCGGCCACCGCCCTACAAGCTCCACTGGCACCACAGACCAGTGAAGAGCCTCATCAGTCACCGGCAGTTGGGTGTTTGATTACTCTGCCGGTCCAGCAAGGAATGCAGAGGGATTGGGATGGCGCCTACCATGCCGTGCGCGCGTCGCACTGCATGCGCCCGATACATGGGCAATGGCAGAGCCAGCAACCGCCAACTCTGTACTGCGACGACAGACAGGACAAAGTCCAATGCACGGGAAGGCATGGTGCATGTTCCTCCCGTGGTTTTCTTTTGTGATGTGTTGATGAAAGTTGTTGCGCTTTGCTCAGCACGGCCAATCCAGGGCGGGGCCCCAGCAAAAAGAATTGGGAACCACAGGAGCCTTCCGGCGCCTTCACCACAGTTGCTGTTGTTCATCACTGGCCCGCGGACAACACAAGGTGCACCTCAGGACATTGTGTGGTGGTGTGTGTACCACGCGGGCGGCGGTGTGGACGCGCGATGCGATGGACTGTGAGCACGGCGTTTGCAGCCGGTCAACAAAGCTGCTGTGAGCATTTTGCAGCTGGGCGGCAGGCTCGAGGTGGGGAGGGTGCTGCTGACGAGTACCGAAACGCCAAACTGAGGAGGATGACTGAATACAGCGAGCTTTCGGCTGCGCGGGTGCCGTCGTGCACGGATATTTGCAGGCGAGAGAGCCCCGAAGCTTCACATCATCTCTGAAGGGCCAGAAAACGCTGCATCTGCAAGGCCAGCCTCGCAGGCCGGCCACACGCCGCCGCGCGACGCCATCATCGGCGGCGCTGCCTCGAGCCCACCGGGCAGCCGCCCTCGGGCTCGGCCGGTCCCTGGTGGCAGGACCGCCGCGAGCGCCGCCGCCGCGAAACCGCGGCCTAGTCCGACGGGCCACTGGTGGTGCTGCCGCTGCGGCCTCTGCTGGGGCCTGTTGGGCTGCGGCTGGCTGCGGTCGGGGCCGTAAGCGGTAGGGTAATGCTGCGGCCTCTGCGGCACCCCGCAAACCCGCTGCCCCTGCTCGGCGGGGGCCCGACAGTCGGATGCCCGCACCGAGTGCTGGAATTGCTGCTGCTGCCGCTGCTGCTGCTGCTGCCGCTGCTGCTGCTGCTGCTGCTGCTGCTGCTGCTGCTGCAGCTGCTGCAGCTGCTGCTGCTGCTGCTGCTTGTACTGCGCCATCTTCTCCCGCTGGTACTCCTTGAAGCCCGGCCTCTTGGAGCGCTGTATCGGCACGCGCCCGCAGCGGCCGCCTGCTGCTTGCCGGAGGCTATGGTGGTATCGCGTGTGTGGACGGGTGGGTGGAGGAGAGGTTGGGTGAGGTGGGGGAATTTGAGTATTGGTGCCTTACAGCGTTGGCCTATCCTGCAATGTGGCCAGGAACCTGACTCGCATGTATGCCTCCAGACCGCACACGCGCTGTCCGCCCCAGTCCATGTTCAACCGTGCGGACGCGTGAGCTCATCTCATGACTGCACCCCACAACAAAGGCCAGCCTGACTGACCCCCCAGCCACCCCTCACTTGCAGGCTCCGCGAAGACTCCGTGGCAGCCGGTACTGTCGGCGGTGCCAGCCCCCGTCCTGGATGCCTCAACATGCAGCGCAGCTCCGGCCGCGGGTATGGCCTGGGGGCGTGGAAGGATGACGGCACCGGCAGCACACGTCATGGTCAGTTTGGGGGCATGCATCTCAATTATGATTCGTGCTGGTAGGATAAGCACTCCTCATACCAGCCGTGCTCCTCCCACTCCCCCCTCGTCAACTGACATCAAACAGGATGACAAACAGGAACGAGGTCAGGCAGTGTGTACTACCTAGCAATCACGCACACCGTCAACAGCACAAATACACTAGAATCCGCCCTTCGCTCTCTGTCGAAGCCGCAACACAGGTGCAGCACGAGCACGCGCCCACCTCAACGCTCCCCTCGTCGGCGGCCGCGGCGTTGTCGTCGCTGCAAGCCGCGCTGAGCACCGTCACCCCCGCGCCGGCGGCGGCGTCACCCGCGACCACCACCTGCGGTGTTTGGCGGTGGCACGGGATGATGCGACCGGGCCGTTTGCGTTTTGGCTTCGCCGGGTGACATTGGCGCGTCACCCATTGCAATGGATGCCAGCCGATTGGCGAGCGCCCCGCGCCGCGGCGCGTGCGACCAGGCGGTGGTGGCGCGGCAAAAAGGGCTGCCCTTGGGAATATTCTGGGGGCTCGCACTGGACGGCCAGGCGCGCTCATGTACAGCCCCCCACAGGATCCGCACCTGCCCCGTCCCACGAAACCACGCACCTGGCTGGTAGGGATGTCGGCAGCAAGCTCGACGCTGGCGATTTGCTCAGCGGAGCTGATCTCTAGAGGGGTGGGGCGTGTGGGGCTGGCCGGGCGCACCTATCAAAGAAATCATGTGTGTGTGTGTGTGTGTGTGTGTGTGTGTGTGTGTGTGTGTGCGTGCGTGCGCATGCGTGCGTGCGTGCGTGCGTGTGTGTGTGTGTGTGTGTGTGTGTGTGTGTGTGTAGGCCGGCAGGGGTTGGAGTTGGTGGGTGCAGTCGCTTGGGCAAGTGAGCTTGCCGCTCGGCCTGCCCCCATGGATTGTGGCGAGAAGAGGCATGCATAGGCGCACTGAAGGGGGGGGGTGTCAAGCATGTTTACCTGCAAGCAGGAACAGGCCGCCTGCCAGCCCCTGGCTGCTGTCAGTTGACATCACCACGGGGCCCCGCTCTACATACTTGATCCTGCACGGTCCGCGCCCGGCCCTTGCCCATCACAAATGTTGTGCTTGCTTGCTTGCTTGTGAAGCGCAAGCAAGCGAGAATCACACCTCGCCGTTCTTGAGCATGCCATTGGTGGGCGAGCTAGGCCTGCTGCAGTCATCCTGGCTGCCCACAGCAGAGGTCTCCTTAGTATCAGGGGCCTCCAACTCATGCTCCAGAATCTTCAAGGGCGTGGAATGCAAAGAAGGTCGATGCGTGCGGGGGCGCGGTGAAGGAAGCAAATGGGCAGAGATGGACGTTGGGAAGCTGATCGGGCGGGATGCGCGCTGAATTGTGGATATCGCAATGATGGGCTGACGGTTGCTGCGGATGACCTGGTCGGTTGTAGCCAGGCGGCCTCTCGGACGCTGCGCAGACTGGGCTGATGTGAGTGGGACAAAGCCACCAGTGGCTGCATCCGCATCTGCCATGTCCATCCTTCTGGCGCACGATCATGTGGCAAGCCTTGCGTGCCCGCACAACTGAGCACGTCCCAAACCTCCCGATTCCCGCCTCACGTCGGGAGTACAGCGCCTTGGGGGGTCCGGAGGGATACAATGCTCGGCGGGGTGCCCATTGACGATGCTTGGGGTGATCATAGCCCGTCGATCCCTCCAAGAAGGGTCCGGCATCCCCAAGGGAGAGGCCCAGGAGGCGGCCGCAGCAATCGGCTGGAAGGCCAACTCCTGCAGGGGTGAGAGGCGGCGGCAAATAGCACTCAGCTAGAACACGGAAGATACAGGGTCAGCTGCAGGCCAGCCGGCTATCAGAGGTAGTTCTGAGTCCATGCAGGGCGGGCGCGGCTGGCAGGGCCATCGCAGCCGCGTGCGTGCATCTCACACTTCAGCCGTGGGTGCCCTCTCCGGGCACCGGACTGCTCTGCCTCAGCCCCAGGCACACCTTGTCGGCCAGGAGGTCCCTGGAGCGTGCTGCTTGGGGCCAACCACACAGCTCCGCAACGCCGCGACAGCGGTGACCGAAGGGCTGGTCGAGCGCGGCAAGCGCGGCAGCCCTGCAGAAGGGCAGCGCGTTTTTGGGATAACCCTCTGGAGCCAAGCCGCCGATCCCCCACACCTTTGTCGCAACGCTGCGCAGCAATTTTGAAAGGGGGAGGAGGTGCTTGGCGTTTTCAAGCGGGTGGCGGGATATGGCAGCTCGCGAAAAACGCGTGCACGCGGGCGCCAGGCGTGAGGGTCCCGTGACGTGACGCGCGAGCCGGCGGATCTGGCCCTGTGCTTGACTGCGGACGGCTCGCGCACGGCAGCCCTGCTGGCTGTGCCTTTGGCCTCACCAGGGGTGGTCGACGAACAACCGGGGGAAGTGTCGCGCACTGGGGATGACGGGCGTGACGGGCTGCCCCTCGCTCATCACCTCTTGGCAGACGTCCCCAGCCAGCGTACTGCGTGCCATTTGAGTCCGCCCTGGCATTTGGCGATTGGCGAGAGTTATATTTTTGATGAGGGCGTCAGCAGTGAGTGGTGTTTTTTGGCAAGATTTTACCCTGAGGGCGGCATGGAATGGCGTTTGACCTGCCCCCCCCCGTCCCCCCCCTCAAACCACCATCACCTCAAGCCGCTGGGGCGTGCGGCCGCAGAGGCGCAGGGTGCAGCGGCTGGACCTGACCCGCACGCGTGGCTGGTGAAAGGGATGCAAGGCTGCTGGGCAGCTGGTGTTGGCGCCCACTGGGGGGAGGCGCTCGCGGTGCCGGTGTTGCCGACGCCTGGAAGCGTGACAGGCGCGTGACCCACCGCGTCATCCAGGGCCCCTATATTGAAGAGAGAAGGAGCAGGTGTGTCTGTGGGTGGATGCGCTGCAAAAAAATCTCTGTCATTAGGCTCTGAGAGGTCTCGATCGATGCAGATGGGCAGTGTGATTGCTAGTTCATGGCTGTTTCGCGGGCGCAGCAATGGTGTCTCTGAGGATCACTGCAATCACGCAGCTGTATGTGAACACACCTGACATCATCAGGGCCGCCACCACAGCCTCGATGCCCGCCTCATTCTCCTCGTCTTCAACCAACGCGCTGTCGCCAGCCCCTGCATGCGTGCCTGCCATGGGCGCTGGCGTCGGCTCGCCGCCCTCATGCGCCGCTGCGCCGTTGGCGCGCAGCTCCTCTGCCGGCACTTGCTGCTCCCATTTGGCGTGTGCGCTGCTGCGATGTTGGCGCGCGGGGGCATTTCACCGTCGGCGCGAGGGCACAGGCCAGGATCGGCCCTGGAGCGCATGCGTGCACCAATGCAGGGCCTCAGATCGGGTACCCGCAGCTGAAGCGCTCCACTGCACGTGCAGGCGCAAGCGCGGTCAACGCACCTGATCGCCACTGCCACCTCCTCTGCGCTGCATTGATGCATGGGCTTGTGGTGTAAGGCTTCATAAAGGCCGAAGGTAGCTCCTGGCAACCCGTATGCCTGCCGAACCAGGTCTGCTGCCGCTTCATGTCCTTGCACGAGGCCCACGGCGCCCTGCAGGACGTGACGCTTGGAAATTGAGCCATATAAATCTTCATACTTGCCGCACGAGCTGCTGCGCGCGTGCAAGATCAAGCTCGGTCCCCAGCAAAAAAAGCGCATCAGTGGGCCGCGCTGCCCTCAACTGGGCAACTGCCAGGGGCACGGTCGTGGCATTCTGAGCCATGTATCCTGCCACCATGGCTCCTCTCTGTGCGTCCGGCTCAGAACAGCGTGCTAGGTGCGCCCGCGAGACACTGTTGACTATCCTTTACCGCACTCGATTTGTTTGAGAAAAACATGTGACAAATGAACTAAAACGAACGCGCAGTGTACTTCTGAGCGACCTGCAGTGCAAAGTCTTGAATTCGATGGGACCGAGGCTGCTTTCATCGTGATGATGGTCCATCAACAAACACATCCTCACCTATGTATACGTGTGTACTGCGGACAATAATTGCCTCTATGTGTCTGCCACATTGTTGATGCTTGGCCTGGACGTGCACGCCAAGCCCCACCCCATCTCTACTTTAGTCCTGGCCACACAAACATCTACAAAAACTCCCTCCGTTTCTTGTTACATACTCTTTATCAAGACGCAGCGCCCAAAGAGTATCGCGTTCATTGACAACTACACACGCAAGAAGGCCAAGAGCAGCGGCGGGCGGTGGTCGCATGTGTGCGCTACCTGGAGGCTGCGCCGGAGGCTGGCAAACGAGCGTGCACAAAGAACGGCAACCAAACTAAATCCGCTGCCAGCATCAAGCGACCTCATTATACGGCCGCCCATACAGCCCCGCCCACGATGCCGGCGTCCTCAGCGGCACTGCGCCAGCTGCAGCCCCTGCTGCCTCTTGCGCGACCGCGCCGCGCGCCACCAGCAGCCGCAGCGCAGCAGACGCAAGGGCGAGCGCGTCCGCCACGTTGTCGCCCTCTGACGCAAACGTCCCCAGCAGCAGCGCCGGCACGCGCGCCGCGGCGAGCGCGCCGAGCAGCGGCCAGGGCGGCAGCAGCGAGTGCAGCTCGAGCTCTCGCGACAGCGCGTCAGCCTCGAGCTTCGGCACACCCAGGTCAGCCGCCGCCGCCGCCGCTGCCGCCTCCGCCTCTGAGAGCGCAAGCCCCTCCAGGCGCCGCCGCGCCGCCTCGGCCTCCCCGTCTTGCGGCCGGTCCGCGCCGTCGGCTGGCCGCGGCGCCGACGCGGCGGCGGCGGCGGCGGCGTAGTCGGAAGCTGGCAGAAACCTGGCCTGTGGGCCTTCCAGTTGGCTCTCTCGACGGAACTGAGCGTCGAGCCCTGCCAAGATCAGCACCTGCAAAAATGCAGGCAGTGAGATTGTGGTGTCCAGAGCGCACCGTGGCGTACCAAGGGCACGTGCGCGTTCATTTGCTATCAGGGCTGCCCTGGTGCCGCCCCCCGCGTGCACGTCACACATGCAGGGCGTGGGTCACGATTAGTTCAGCAAAATGGGCATAGGCATTTGAAGCAGTGTACGGGAAGTATGCTCAAGGCAGGCTGCTTTGAATGCAAGGCTGCCAGTTGAGCATCTACAGCCAAAACATCAGCAGCTTCGCACACCAACACCGCTGCGCACGCACCTGGCCGGCCCCCGACGCCGCAAGCCACCGCGCCAGGTCCGAGCAAAAGGCGGCCTGGCGGCCCGGGATCGCGGGCGCGCGCTGCTGCAGAAGAAACAGCTTGGAGCCTGCGCGCGTGCCAGTTGTTCCCGTCAGCGACATTTGCCTCTGATGTCGTGTATGCAAGCCCGCAGGGGCGATGACCATTCTTCAAACCCGCACAGCTCCCGCTGCTGCCTCTGCGCACATCCATGTGCGCACGCACGCACGCACGCATCCAAGCTCGCATGTGTGCACGCATGCAGGCACGCATCTCCCGCACACTCAAGGAGACGCAGTCATGCATGCATGCCCACAAACACACATGCCTGCATGCCTGCATGCGCTTCATCTCCCACAGCGGCGGCGCGGCAGGCTGCAGAGCAAAGTGTCGACCCCCGTGCCTCGCACGCAGCCCCCCCTTTCGCCGCTCTCGGCGAAATGGGGGCACGCCCGCGGGCAAAAGCAGCCGCTCGCGTGCGGCGCCTGCACAGCGGCCCACCTGGCGCCCCAACAGAGTACAGCTCGAGCGCCGTTGCCAGCACGCCCCGGCCCTCTATGTGGTCATACGCATCGTTGCCAACGACAGCCAGCAGGTTGGCGTCCGCGAGCCGCGCGGCGAGCGCAGCGCGCAGCGTGGAGGCGAGGGCGTCCACCGCGAGCTCGCCGACGTTGAAAAATGCAACCGCCGGCTGCGGTGGGCGGCAGCAGCATGCGCGTTTGCGTGATCAGGCGTTCAAGGATAGATGCGAGTGCATGAACACGGTCGTGTCATGAGAGCGTCGGCGACAGCGCGTACAGCGGCCGCAGACTCACCAGCACAATGCATGCGCCGTCCAGGTCGGGCGCGTCGCCGACAGGGTGCAGCTCCATCAGTTCACTGCCTGCGGCGTCCTAGCTGCTGTCTGCAATGCAAATGCGATCAGGCGACTAGCGTGGTGCCCTTCAGATCTGTACGGTGATCGCGGGTGGCGGTGCGTGACAAACTAGTGTGTAGAAGCTGTTGATACGCAGTAAAAGAGGAATCACCACTAGTAAAAAAATCTCATCGCACACACATGGCACAACTGTGGGGGCGGTTCCCGTGGAGTTGCCTCCCCCCCGGAAATGCGCCAGTGCGTAAGTGCTGACCCCCGCGCCGAGCCAGTCAAAAGTGCGTACTGTAGTCCGTATGTGGGATAACGTAAGTACGGCGCCTCTCAGCAGGCTGATGTCGGAGAGCTCCATTCACACCAATTACTATGACGCTGCTGAGCAGCGCGAAGAGTGCCATGTGGTCGTGCAAGCGCTGCCTGTCAAACAAGGGCACAGGAAATTTGTGCATTCAATGTCATCTTGTTGGTGTGTGCCGTATCCGCGAAGAAGCCAAGCAAGTGCGCATGTGCCCAAGCGGCGACGCACCAGCAGAGCGTGCAAAGCGTGCGGACCGGGCGCAGCTTAGCTCGACGCGTTGGGATTGTGACTTGTGATAAAGCAACCTGATCTACTTGATTCTATATACCACTGTCTCTAAGCCAGCTCAAGGGCTCTGTGGGGTCCATCGGGTCCGGCTGACGAGTTTCAACTCTTCCCTCGTCTGCAGTGGCGCTGTCGCCGTCTTTTGCAACGCCGAGGGTACTGTGCCTGATGCTGTCGTTGTGCAAGCCATCGATTGGTTAATCCTTCACTGTTGGGTCGGTCTATCATATTCCTTGCTGCGTCGAGCTCACTACGCTCCGCACTGATCACCAGCTCCACCCTGGCCGCATCGCTCGCGGCCCTCCAATCAGTTGTCTCGTATCTCTTACCTACAACTTAACACCCCAGCTTCGGCTCGTCGGCGCTTCCCAGGGGAGCCAGTCACTGCATGGAACACGAGCCCGGGGCCCCTGGTGAGGCGCCCGTGCGGGCTTGCTGTTGCACATATATGATCGGTGTCTGCGTGGGTAGATCGCGTCTCGCTTTGCGGCCACGTCCTGCATGCCCGTGGATGGCTTTGGACGGCCCTCCTGGTCGTGGGAGCGGCGCGTCACTGGCTCCGCGCCACCCCGCATCTCGTCAGTCGGGGTATCAGAGGCAGCCCAAACCCACATCCATGCGCATGTTGATTGGTGCCAACGCCGGCCCCGCCCTCGCTCCCGCGACGCAACCGCCACCCGCGCCGCCCGCCGCGATGACCTGAAATCCTCTCACGCCCACGGGTGCCCCAACCCACCCACAGACGGAGCCGCCAGTGCCAACGCTAACGCCCAGGCTTACGTGAACAGCCTCGCCGCGGCGTTCAACGCGTCCTCCCTCGGCCCCAGGTCACTGGGGCCGGCGGCGGCCGCCGCAGCGCTGCTGTCGGTGTCCGCGCCGCTCGCAGCGCCGTCGCTCGCGCTGCCCACGGCCGCGCTCGCGCCACTGAGCGGCGATGCGGACCAGCCCCCGACGCCCTCGGCTGCAACAGCTGCCGCGCAGCAGCAGCAGCAGACAGCCGCGGCGGTCACAGCCGCGCTGCAGCAGCAGGCGGCCGCCGTCGCATCCGTCCAGCAGCAGCAGCAACAGCAGCAGCAGCAGCAGCAGCAGTGGACCAGCAGCCTCGCCGCCCTGCGGGCGCAGCCCGCCGCGCAGCTGCTCGCGGCTGCGGGGCTGCAGGCCGCGACAGCGCTGATGCCAACCGGCGCGACTGCGGCGCAGCTGGCGAGCGGCATGCCCGCGCTGCAGCAGGTGCCGGTGATCATCGCGTCCCAGGGCATGCCGCCGTCGCCGCCGACCTCCTCGGCAATGTCCGCGTCGCCGATGGCGTCTGCTTCGAGCAACCTGGTCGGCGGCGCCGGCGCTGGCGCCGCGCCGCAGAGCCCTTCGACGCTTCTCGCGGCCTCCCACGCGGCCGCCGCCGCCGCGGCGGCGACCGCGCCTGCGGCGACCGCGCCGCCGGGGCTGTCGCCGTTCTTCGCGGCCGCCACGCCCGCGGTATGTGGGGCGCCGATCAGCGTGCCGCTTTCGCTGCTACCCGGCGCGGGCATCGGTGCAGGTGCCGGCGCCGGCGCGGCCGCGGGCGGGTCTCTGACCATGTCGCCCTCCGCGGCGACGTCGATCTACAGTCAGATCTCGGGGGTTTCGCTGGTGTCACCCTCGTCTATCACTGGAAGCTCTGGGGGCGGTCTTCACACGCTGTCATGCTCGTCGACCGTCTCTGGCTTCGACACCCCCCACGCCTCGGCCACGCAGCCGAAGCCGCCCGCCGCCGCGACGCCGGCCGCCGCGCAGGCGGCGGCGGCGGCGGCGCTGGGGCTCCCGCTGCTGCCGCCGCAGGCTGCGGCCGGGCGCCCCGCGCTGGGCATGCCGCCGGCTGCGGCGGGGACGCCGGCGGCGGC